TAAATACAGTAAATATGATCCAAAGTACAATTAATAAATACATCAATCAGAGTGTGAAATCCCTTTCATTATATGAAGATGATAATACAAAACAGTTTAACACAACTAAATGCCCTTCGGGCTTATACCTTTCCAAGTATTGACTTGGTTACAACAAAAGGAGACTAGCTCATACAAATTTAGCCCTAGACTATACAAAAATATAACAAAACAAGAAGCTCTTACTTTCCAAAGACTCCTCCAATGCTATTGCCTTGGTGAAGGCATGCCATCAGTACTTGAAAATATTTTTTTCCAAAATAGGGTGAGTCATAGCCTAGTAAGAATCATCTAACACAGTATATGAAATTTAGCAAATGTATAAGTGCTATATGTGTATATAATGCCTATGACAGAACGTCCATAAATTCATATACTCATAAAATATCATATTCAAATCTTAATCCATTTTCTTTCAATTCGTATTTTGTTCACTTATCTTTCTCAATCCATGAGTTATTTCATTATTTCTCAATAAACAAACTGAGGCTGCAACTCAATGGTTTTTCAAATCTTACAATGCATATACATAAACACTTCAAATTTCTATTTTACGAATATTTCGTTCGCGGGCAACCGTCAAACGGGACACATGTAAACGTAGGCCATACAAGCACTACAATTGACATTTTACGGATATTTCGTCTGTGGGCTAGGCATCCATGTATAATTTTGGGACTTTCACCCAAGACACTCCGACCAACTTAATTATAATGGACTCTATCCCCTTTCTCCTCCTAAGAAATGGAGTCCATCCCCTTTCTCCCCCCAAACAATCATACATATACAATGTATTTAACAACGTGATCATATTCAATGATAATCAACCATGGGATAGTTTTAATTCACCTAATCCACATGCAATTTCTACAACAATCAAAGCTATCCTCCACCGATAGCCCAATACAGATATTTCTAAGCAGATATACAATCTCAAGACAAATAATTTATCCAAATTTTTCCAAAGATGAGACACATCATTTATTCAATTTCACCATCCATTTCAATACTTGACCAATTTCATGTTTACAACATTAATTTCAACTATTTATACAAAATAGATATAATAGTCATTTTAGGGCAAAATCCCCCTTTTCAAAATATTAACCCAAGTACCAAAATCACCCATTTGACAAAACAAGACTCCATTTTCAAATTCCAAGTTCGTCTGTTTCATTCTTACCAAAACCCCTCTTTTACATTTCACCCAAACTCTAGGTTTGGCTCAAAATACTCTCAAATCTCACCATCGTTACACAATCCACAAATAACTAAGCTAAACATCATAACAAAGCGTAGAAAACCCCTACCTCAAAGAGAGAAGATGAGCCAAGCAAGGATGAAGCTTCAAAAATGACGAAATCCAACTTTAATCGGGTCAAAATGTAGATCTTGAGATGTTCCAACTTTTTATCAAAGAAAGTAGGGTGAAGAGATCAATAGATCTAGGTCAAAATGTAGAGGGAATGTGAGTTTTAGAGAGAGAGATGCTCTCAACTTTAGGGTTTTGGATGAAAAGATGGAAAAAAGTGATGTAAAAAGTCGCTTTTACGATCTGATATACGTGCAGTCCACTCGAGCAGAGAGTTTCACACACGAGTGTCAGACACAAAGATTTACTCCGCTCGAGTGCAAGAAGAGGCCAACTCAAGCACAGAATACATACCTCTAGAACTTTTACAAACAACAACCCAACCACTCGAGCTCAAGAAGAGACGCTCGAGCATCAACCTGCTCGAGCGTAGGAAACGCCGCTCGAACTTGAAAGACACCCCTCCAGTACTTTTGCAAACGTGCAAAGTACTGAAGGTTTGCAACTCCTGCCCGAGCGTGGGAAAGGCCGCTCGAGCAGAGGACCAAAATTCTAGACAACAAGGTTTGGGAAAAACAAGCAACCAACATGTTCTAAACGCAACCATAACAACCCAAAGGCCAAATTCAAGAGATACAAGGGAAGAAAGAGGCAAACAACATTATGAAAGCATTAAACCCGCGTCCAGAATACCACAAGAGTCGGGTCAAAATCGGGATCGCTATATATATCAATCTGCCCACTAACTATGGATTAGTTTGTTCTGCAGTTTGAAATGTATAATCCACCTCTAAAATTGTTCCGCTTCGTTGTGCATATATGAAAAATATTATACAAATTAATATCATATATTATATGTAAATGTATGACAATTGTTTAAAATTATTTTTCAATCAATTAATAAATTGAAAGTGCTCAAACCGTGATTGATTATTAACCAATCTGTCATTTATAATTTTACCGAAAATCACACTGCACACACGCTCGTAGTTGTTAATATAGGTCTTGCGTGTATATTAATTTTGGTTCAAATATTAATGTACGAAAATGGCAAGTTTCTAAAAGATTCATATCTGTGTAATTATTGGAAAGTCAGGTGTATTTTTGATTTAGTTTCCAATGTTAATATGTATTTAATATATATACATAGATATTTTTTAATTGTTAGGCAAGTTAATCTTCTGCTCTACAAAGGTCGTGAAAGAGAGAACCCCCCTTATCTATTCTTTTGTGTTCTGGGTTTGAGAAGCTATGGAGAGAGAGAGAGAGAGAGAGAGAGAGAGAGAGAGAGAGAGAAGCCATTAAAGCTAAGGTACCTCTTTTCCATTATTGAACTTCTCTCTCTCTTCTTCTTTAATTTTATCAATTTAAATCTTAATCTTTTGCTTTATTTTCAATATAAATGATTTGCCTATGTTTGTTTAATAAAATAGACAGAAAGAGAGTAATTTAGCCATTAAAATCAATGTAGATATACATAAAATGTCTAAAATACCCTTTTTCATTGAGTTTACTTATTTTCCCTTCAATTTTACTCAATGAAAATAGGCAAATGGTCTAGGTTATACAATAAATCAGAAGTATAGAGTTTAAATGATAAAATTTAACACTCAAAATTTATTTTGTTACAATAGTCAAACTCTGGCAAAAAAAAAAAAATTTGGGTGTAATTTCATAACAAGGAAATGAAGCTAGTAATTTGAATTTCAATTACTTCTTTCTATTAATGTTTATTCATCTGTACCTTAAAATAAATCAAGTCCCTTCAACAGTAAAACAGAAATGGGAGGGTACCAATTAATTGTCCAAGGAGTTGATATTGTTGAGAAAAACTATATGAAGAATTTTTAAGTAGTTTGGCATACAAGAGAGAGCTCCAGTTAAGTAGTTTCAAAAAAATGTCCATTCAAAAGGTTTTGGCAGAGTCCTACAAAGGGTAAACAGATCAATCACAACAAAGTCGGTTACAATTGGTCGATCCTGTTTAAAACATACAAATCTTTTGATTGTCAAGTCGAGCACATGTAAATTAACTTTAACCGCTAAATGATGTGGAAAAGAAGGAAAAGAAAAAAAAATGGAAATGTGGATTTCTTGATTACCTCGTCTGATTAGCACTATAATCTATAGAAAGGGTATTAAGATTCTGCTGTGGCTAGCTTTTCTTCTCTCATACACTCGACAAAATCATCAAGGATTAATGGCCAAGCTTCGGTTGTATCATAATTTTTAAGGTCTGGAAAGCTTATCTGCAATAACAAGAAAGAGTAAGAGGAAGAACTCTTCATAAATGCAACTGAAACTGGCTCAAAATAACAGAAATAATATATCTAACGGAGTCAAAGATGGAGCCTGTTTGTTTCCACTTTTAAGAAAAGCTAGCTTAAAAAAAAAAAAAATACCCTAAATTTTTATGTACAAGTACTAAAGCATGTGTTTTAAATTTCAAGCTAGAGAAGTTGCAAACGTGTAGATAAATAGTTCAGTTAGGTCAGAGTTGAGGGCAAGTTTAGCACCTAACTGAACCTTTCGGTTTTGACAATTGAGGAACAGACACAAACTATATCGTACGGTTCATTTTTGTCAGTTTGGCATAGAAGAGGGATTTACATGAGGTCATTGAGAACAAATAAAGAAAAAGAATGAATGTAACTGTCTAAATGTATACTCCCTAGCTGTTATCACAAAAAAGTGTATTATATTAGTCACTTATCTTGTAATGCTCAAAGAATTAAAATATAAAAATATTTAAGTATAATATTTTAGTCGGTTCAGTTTTTATCGATGGAAAAAATTTCAAAACCAAAACAGGCCGTACGTTATGAAAAACAAACCAAAATTCAAAATTTTGGTCAGTTTTGAGCACATTACACCCCTAAAAAAGTGGGAAACAAACAGGCACACAAAATATTAATGCCAGTGCCATATCATGTGGTACAAAAGGGCACTAATGAGAGGTACATTCAGCAAAGTAAAAGAAAAGTTAACATACCCAGAATCCTCGTCCATAATTCACTTGTTTGGTTTTGGTTTTCAAAAAACACTTTAAAAAAATTTGCCTTTTTATTTTCTATATTTTTTTTGTTTTCAATGAATTTTTTTAATATTTTAAGCAATTGTTTTTAATTTTTAGACACACCTAACATAAATACACTTCAAAAGTATAATATTTATAAAAAAAAAATCTTTAAAAAATTCACTAATTACCAAATATACAAAAAAAAAATTAAAAAAAAAAGACAATTGAGTACACTTTTCATATTTTTGTATATTTACTAAATTTTTCACAAATATTTTCCTATTTTTACATCTAAGTAAGATGCATCTAAAAAAAGTAAAAAATTGTTCAAAATTTTAAAAATATTTACTAAAAACAAAAAAATACGAAAAACAAAAAACTCAATTTCGAAAAACTGAATTCAAAAAACTGAAACCAAACACATTGAATATTACCCAAAATAAAAGTGGTTTAGATTCTAATAGAGTATTGGGGGACTATACCTAGAATGAAATTGATTTTGAATGAAATTATCGACAAAATTTGGTTATGTATCGTTGCTTTTCAGCGAAAGACCTCAATATATAGATCTACCTACCAAAATAGATACAAAAATAATCACCTTGTAATCGTTCTGGATCTGATGAAAAATCAAGTCCAAGCATCACAAATCAAATCATTGGATACCATTATAATTAAGATGTTGATCATGATCCCCAAGATCAAGATGCATTTCTCTAAAGAGTAATGCTATTCATAAATGGATTGCTTACCAATTTTCTTACTAGACACCAAGGCAATGGGGCCTACATGTATTTATTAATAGGGGCCCCACTACCTTCATGTCTAGTGGTAAGAAATCCATTGTATAGTGTTATTCGGGTAGTTATTGTCAATGTCATTACTTCATATTTTTAGTTTTACAAAACTCATCAATAATAAATTTCCACATATGTACTCTAATATGTATAATATCATAAATTTGCAATAATAACATCACAAGTAATTCAAACTCGTCGAATTACATATGCAACAAAGTCTTTAATATATTATTAATTCAACAAAACTACAGAGATGGTGGGAATGTGCCATTTTCAATTAATCAAACAGGGATAGTGAGATAAATACAAAATGAATAATCTCATAGACCAAAAAAAAAAAAATTCAATACTTGTTTTGTAAACACCTAAGAATCATGAGGGTAGAAAGAAATAAGTGCTGCCCACCTTTAAATACTTGGTGAATAAGGTAACCTGGGACGGAAATTGGGACCCCATAACAATATCTAGCAATTCACAAATGCATTCAACATCTATCCGTTTTTGCTTATCTTCTGAAAGAGGGAAAAAATGGCCAGCAAAATTAAAAATAAATAAATGATAAAAATTTAAATCAAACTCAAAACTGAAACAAGATAATGTCATGAAACAATGCGGTGCACTTCCATTCACTTAAACACGTTAGGCAGTATTGAAATGCAAAAGAATAGAAATCTGCAAAATTTTGAGGCATCCTAACCTTTTCAGAAAACAGTACACGATCAGTAATAGCACTATTAAACACTTCATAAGTAGGCAGTTATCAACAAATAAATATCTAGAACAGAGAAAAAAAGGTATGACATCAAGAATAAAATTCAATGCAGATCAAGTTCCACATTTTGAAATATCCATACTAAGTTGACCATCGTGGATTGGGGTCCCGTGCTGGAAGTCATATAACATAAACCGTTGTGAAGACAGCTCGAGTACAAGCCGCTTCAAGCAAGGCCCTCGGGTTTTACCCCTTGGTCTTATTTTTTGCAAATTTTTGACTCCAAAACCTACCGGGACTGGGAATGAGTCAAATAGGTCAATTTTGTGAAATTAAAACTAATGGCTCATGTAGTATATATCTATTACAAGTATGTAGTCATCTCTGCATAGCTTATGTCAATCTGCAAACCGCAACACATTTGAATGCTCAATCTAACCTATCAATCCATTACAACCAAGCTCAAAATTTGCCCATGGAAATTGCCAACTCGTATACACCAACACCATTACCCCCAAAAATCCAAGATCCAAACATAGTATTATGGATGCAGAGAGGAGAATAACAGTAGCTGTTACCTTGACTACCCATAATGCATATGAACAAAAAGAAGACGGCTTGTTCTACAATAGGAAAACTTTTTTATGGGCTTTTGGATTTAGCTTTTGTTTGTTTGGCTTTTTTGCTAGCTTTTAGTTGTGCTGACGTATATGCATGAAACTGAACATACATATACTCATCTATTACCGCAAGGCTCTACTATTTTCTTTGTACATATTTTCATATACAGTTCAAATAGGTATTTTAGTATTTTTCATGGTCCTATATTGTAATATTCTCCAATTTTCCAAATAGTCTACTTTGACAAAGGACAAAAATTATAAAAATCCAAGAAAGCAGATAAAATTAGATACCATCCAAACAATTTATCTTATACCAACAGAATAGTAGTGTTAAAATATATATTTTTTTTAAAATGTTAAAATGACGATAATAATAAGAGTAATGCTATACAAACTAACAAATCTTATAAATTTCTCACTCACTGATGTGACACCTACCATATTATTTATTTAAGTGGGTCCTATTTCAGATTCCAAATTATTGCATGACACATTAGTTAGTAAGATTTGTTAGTTTGTGTAGTATTTTTCCTACTAACAACAACAATAACAATAATAATAGTAAGGGCAATGGTTGTAATAATTAATGTACTTACCTGTGTAAAATATCCCTGCTTCTGAGCATTCATTTTCCTGTTGCATGCAGATTGTCAGCTATATTAAGCAGCATTAGGAGAAATTTGGTCATGTACATGTTACATGTCAACAACAGAACTAACATACCAAGCGAGCATCAATATTGTGACATCAGTATGATCCACTCCCAAATTGAACAAAGTGCCTCTATTCCTTCCGGACTGCACAAGCACACATACAAAATTGGCTTGGGTTAGTAGTGTTACATCAATCTCTTGAACACCTATCCACCTGAAGTTTAACCAATTTCATGATATATAAATCACTCATTGCAAAGGAGACATTAAATGGTAAAAACAAACAAATAAATAAACAAAAATGTAAGAACCTTTTTTATGCTTTGATCTTCTGAAAATCAAAGTCAAAAGTCTGTATAGCATTGATCTTATAGAAGCAGTAACGTCAAAGCAACGCAAGACATAGATTGTCATAATGAGGTACTGATGAACATAAATCAGTTCCGGCAATTATTTCTCTTCAGTGACAAGGAAATTGTTTTAGCACACAGAGGTTTTGACATTGACATAATACGACACTCTACACAAATGAAACACATTACAAGTTTGAATAAAATAACTTAGAATCAAATAATAAAACAAAAATAATGTAAGTTTATACCTATTCTCCTCATTTAAATTATCTTGGATTAAAATATTTATATATATGACATTTAATAATTATTTATTCACATATAATATATAATAAATATATAAAATTTTATATTTTGCACTTGTCCTCCACTTGTTGTGTCTTACATTTTAAAAAAAATTCCGTGTCAATGTGTCATTGTCATGTCACGTGTCTATGTCCATGCTTTTTAGGTACCATTTATTGAAAAATTTTGCCATCAATAGCCCTCATCACCTACAGCAATATAGGTAAAAACCAAGATAGAAAGATGGTAGTACCTATTAACCTATAACCTATAAAACAGGTAATCTACGTTACACGGACTCGGGTGTGGGTATCGGATGCGGGTGCATATTTGGGGGTTGGACACTTCAAAACTAAAAATTGAGGATACATAAATATGGATCCAAATATGGATACGGGTAAGAGGATACGTTAAATAGTTATTTTAAAAATATATTTATTATATAAAGATGAGTTAAATAGTTATTTTTAAAATATATTTATTATATGAAGATGAGTTAAAAACAGTTGACCCAACAATTTTTTTATAAATAGGATGGACAAGTCATAGAACAACCCATGCTATTGTTGAACAGAGTTTATAAATAGGCCCAAATTTTTATTTATTTATTTGGATCCAACCTATGAAGCACAGGTACTTCAAAAATGGTACTGTACAAGTACCGGGTACTTACTGGGTGCAGGTACCGAACACATGCCGGGAACAGCAAATACATTTGGGTACGTCGTGGGTACGACACCAGTATGGCAAAATGAATTTTTTATTTTTATTTTTTTGTGCGCAAATGCTAGAATTTATTGCAGCGTTTATTATTCTTCTTTAAATTTTGAAAATATCAAGTAATTTATTTCAAATATCCTTTACCCATGAGTCATGGTTTTACTCTCTTTTGTATCCTGTTTTAGACAATTAAAAAAGAAAAATAAATAATTATATAACTTTTTAGACAGGTTGTTCTCTTTTTGGTTTTGATATTGAAACTTTGATTTATATGTTGGATGTTTAGCTAAAAAAAAAAAAAAAAAAAAAAAAAAAAAAAAAAAAAAAAAGGGGACCCCCCCCAGCCATATCTGTACCCTACTTTTTTAAGAATTTGCCGTATTGGTGTACTCATATCGTACTCGTGCCAGTATCCGTACCCACACCTGTGCTTCATAGGATCCAACCGATCAGGGTTTATTATGATAGAACCAACCAATAGGCCCAATCTTTTTATTTATTTTTTTGGGTCTAGCCCGTTATGGTTTATAATATTAATTATTATGATATAAACCAGTCAATAGGCCCAAGCTTTTTATTTAATTTTTTGGGTCCAACCCATTAGGGTTTCTAATATTAACTAGCCAAATAAGCCCAACCTTCTTATTTATTTATTTGGTTCGGCCCATTAGGGTTTGATACAAACGAGCAGCAGCAGCCAGTCAAACGTTCTCCTCTTCACTTCTCTCTCAGCAGCACAGTAGCACGAGATGGAGTCTGTCTCTTCTCTTCTCTTCTCTCTCACACACACACAGCACAATCGAGAGAGATATCAAGAGAGAGGAGGAGATCGTGATAGAGAGAGAAAAGGAGATCGAAACAAAGAAGATCAAAAGACACAGATCAAGATCTTGAACCCATACATCAATGTAAGTATCTCAACTTTATTCCTTTTTTATTAGCCGTGTCTGAGAGAGAAAAGGCAAATCTGACACAAATCCCACACCCACACCTGTGTCATGTCGTGTTATAGCGATCCTGGATTTACCCTTGTTGTACAGTGATCCGGACATGTGTCCTTGGATGTTAGTAGTTGATTATTATCTTGTTTACATCCTTCCTTACTTCGTTTTTGAGTTATAGGATGTGTTGGGCGGATTTGTTTCAGGTTGGTTGAGTTTAGAAACCAAAACTAGTTGCCCAGATTTTTGGCCTGTCCGCTCGAGCGGGGGTGTTAGTATTAATTTTAAGTAATAAAAAACAATCCCAATTAAACAATCAAGACAAATCAACACAACGATTTTAACGTGGAAAAACCACAATTGGAGCGCCTTCAATTGTGATAAAAAACTACGGGCAAAAGCCACAAAACAATCCACTAAGAAAACAAAAAGAATTACACAAGTGTACTCTCAATTACCTAACGAATCCACTCCCGAATTGAACCGACCCCTATATGCCTCTTCCACTACGGTCTTTAGCTCGGAATTGTCTTGCCCAACATTGAATCCACAACGTCGATGTTGAATTCATGACGATGAGTCACTCCGGAATCCAACAAAGCTTCAGACCCAAATTTCACGGAATCCACCGAAAAACAACACTCTGTTTTATATTGAATGAAACAAATAATCCTTTGATGCATACTTTTCAAACCAGATTTAAACTCAAACCAACATCAAAGAAACTAGCAAATAAGCTCCAGCTATAAACCCTAATATCCAAGAAGAAGATCTGGAAGCCGTAACCCTAAAAACAGATGGAACCAGATATTTATAGAAAACTGATATGCGATCTTCGCTCGAGCACAAGAATGGATGCTCGAGCGAACTGACGCTCGAGCACAGGAAGTTCCGCTTGAGCGCAAAAACACAACTTCCCGTACTTTTGCAGATAGTTCAAATTTCAATAACCAAAGATTCTCCACTTGAGCACACAAATGGCGGCTCGAATAGACAAACAACTTCGACAAGCAGTTAGATCCCCGCCATAGTTAGCGAAATGGCAAACATGATAGGATAAGATCACAAACTCCTCTGCATTGGCACAATTCATGTTGGATTCGCATCTAAAACTCATAGTCTCACTGAAATAAAAAAATAAAGAATAAAAAAAAGATCGAATATAATTACAACTGAAAAGAGTTTTGTCAAACGGGATTGCCAAGAATAAAAACCTGACAATATGAAATATAAAAGGGAGCAAAATGAAAAACTTCAATAAAACTGTAGGTAAAATTTTAATTTTCATTAACTTAAGGAGGGGCTTCTTACAATCCCAGCATCAAAGCTTCTTGGAAGTTGGAACCCCAACTCAAATGGGATTATTATTGTTGCTTCTCTAAGGAATTTTTAAGTGTGATTTAATATATTTTATATTTTTAAATCATTATAAAAAAAAAAATTTATATTTATTTTTGATATTTTTTAAATATAAAAATTATTTTTTAGACCAAAATGACAAATTATTTGGCCATTTATTTAAAATTAACAAAAAAAATTAAACAAAATTAATTTGTCATAGTAATTTTTTAAAAATAAAAAACATTTTCAAACAAAACAATTTTAAAAAAAAATCCCAATCAAATATACAATCAAAAGTAATTTTCAAGTACTAGCTAATTTTTTTTTAACAAAAAATAATGTATACTCTTAAATATTTTAAACAAAAAATATTTTCAGAATTTTTAAAATTTTTTAAATAAAAAACTTATTTTTTGCAATAATTATTTTTTTAAATTAAATTTTGAAAAGAATTTAATTATATATTTTGAATAAAATTTGTAATAAAATTTTAATTTGTGTGTTTGGTTATGAATTATAAATTTTTCAATTAAGTTTTAAATTTTTTTTTCAAATCTCATAACCAAACAATTTTTCTTATTTCAAAACTCATTTCAAATATTCAAAATTCTTTTTAAAACTCAAAAGTAAACAAATTTTTTCTTTTCAAATTATTTTTTAACAATTCACAAACTCAAAATATAATTTTATTATCAAATCGTGATTCTAAAACTCAAACACTATCTTTATTTTTGAAAAGAAAATTAAATTTTTTTTAAAATTAAATTTAATATTTGTGAGAAAAAAATAATCATTATAAATTTAATGTGACATTTCATCTTATTAAAAAAGTCAATTTTTTTTAATTTTCCAAGAGTGTTGAAGTGAGTTATATTTCATTTTCTAAAATTTAAGAATAAAATAACAAATCAAAAAGCAAGAAAAATTAATAAACTTACTAGTTCATAAATTATTTTTCCAAATCAAAACCTTATCAAATTCAAAACCCAATGAAAAAAAAAAATCAAAAAAACAAAAGAAAAAAGAAAACAAAACAAAACAATTCAAAACCCTACAAAGAACACCCAAATTCAAAACCAAAAGAACAAAACAAAAAAAAAAAAATGCAGCTTGTACAAAAGTTGTTCCTTTCCCTTTTTCAGAGACAATGATTTATTCCTCATACATTAAGCTTTTTCAAATACGATCAATTAGCAAAAGCAAATGCTATATAGGTAAAATTTTAGGTACAATCGGTACTAGCAAAACCTCTTAAATCAACAATTCAAAACATAAATCGATACACATATCTACAAAATATCTGAGGGAAAAGGGGAGGCTCAGATCTGTGTGTTTGGATCAGGAAAGAGAATGGGTGTTCTTCCCACCATGGCTGCAACAACAATTGCCCACTGAGAGAGGACCCCATCATCAGACAGAGTCTCTCTCTCTCAAAGGCCTTGAGTGTCGCCTCGCCATCGAAATGGGCAAAAATTTTCTCTCATTGCCTGACATTCGAACGAAC